CCTATATAGTAAAAGGGTAATATGCCTCCCGGCACCGGGATCAGCGTGACAGGGGGCAGTACCCAAACCCCCTGATCGCCCTGCGGCTCTGTGAGTGACAGGGGGCGGGGCCACAACCTCCCTATCCACCCTGCTCTGTTCGTGACAGGGGAAGGCACCCCAAGCCCCTGATCAGCCCTGCTCTGTGCCTGATAGGGGGGAGCTCCCCAATCCCCTGATTGCCCTGCGGCTCTGTGTTTGACAGGGTGCAGCACACCAACCCCCTGATCGGCCCTGCTCTGTGTGTGACAGGGGGCGGCGCCCCAACCCCCGCCCCCCCCACGGGCTCTGCTCTGTGTGTGACAGGGTAGAGCCATAACCTCTCCATTGGCCCTGCCCCGAGTGTGACAGTGGCGGCACCCCAACCCCCTGATTGGCCCTGCTCTGTGGGTGATAGAGGGTGGCGCCCCAACTCCCCTATCGGCCCTACTCTGTGAGTGACAGGGGGGAGCTCCTCAACCCCCTGATCGGCCCTGCTCTGTGCGTGACAGGGTACGGAGCCCCAACCCTCCTGATGGGCCCTGCTCTGTGAGTGACAGGGGGCAACGCCCCAAACCCCTGATGGGCCCTGCTCTGTGTGTGACAGGGTACGGAGCCCCAACCCTCCTGATGGGCCCTGCTCTTTGAGTGACAGGGGGCAGCGCCCCAAACCCCTGATCGGCCCTGCTCTGTGCGTGACAGGAGGTGGCGCTGCAACCTCCCCATCGACCCTGCCTTGAGTGTGACAGGGAGCGGTGCCCCAACCCCCCAATCGGCCCTACCCTGAGCGTGACTGAGGGGTGGCATCGCAACCTCCCATTCTGCCCTGCTCTGTGCATGATGGGGCGGCGCCCCAACTCCCCAATCGGCCCTTCTCTGAGCCTGACCAGGGGCTGCACTTAGGGATTGGGCCTGCCCTCTGCCAACCGGGAGCAGGCCTAAGCCAGCAGGTCATTATCTCCCGAGGGGTCCCAGACTGCGAGAGCGCACAGGCCGGGCTGGGGGATCCCCCTCCCCACCCTCCGGAGTGCACAAATTTTTGTGCCCCAGGGCCTCTAGTCTATTATAAAACCCTACAAATTCAGCTTTTTTTTATTTTTCTACTTAGGTTTTTTGATTCTTCTTACAAAATTCCTATAAGGCAGAGCCTTGGTGGTGTAGGTCTCTGTAGCCCCCACAATGGGGCAATACATTTAAAAATAACAGGGATTCTAAATCACCACATGGTTTTTAAAAATTCTATTTTGGGTTTTTATGACCCGGGCCAGGCAAATAGA